TTATTATTATTATTATTATTATTATTATTATTATTTTGTTATTGTTTCATTTGTTCAATCCTAAACAAAACATTGCTTATATCTAAAGCCAGTATCATTCTGGATTTTAATTGCTGAAAACCTGTTGGAGAGTACTAATACATATGCAGAATGGCACATAAGCAGTGCGCAGGTATGCATGCATGGTCAAAAAAAGAAAAAGGGCACCAGATGTAACGTCATAAAGCTCCCTTGCGTACTTAAGATTGTACCTGGTTGTCAAAACAACAGCTACTGTAGCAGGGCTCTAGAGTGCAACCAGTTTGGTCGCAAATGCGACCTGATTTCTTTTAAAAAAATTAAAAAGAATCCAGCGGCACTGGTGTGAATGGATTGTTGTTCGGTRCGCCAGAGCGGGACCCTGATATAAGGATTAAACGGACACTGCCTTCAACAAATCAGACGAAGTCCAGAGCTGTTTTGTCCAATCAGAGCAGAACAGGATGGGACTTTCAGTGAGAGCAAGTTTGGTTGAAGCAGCGGGCCGGCTCGACTGGAATTGCTGCAGCGACGTGATCAGTCCTGACTTCTCCTCTCCTCCTGCACTTTGCTTCAGAACTACCAAAGACTTTGGTCTGTAAAACCTAACTTTATATTAAATATATGTTCAGAATGTTGTTATTGAACAGATCTGTACAACTCTGTGTGACTGACTGAACTCTCCTCCTGATGAGAGACTGCTGTATGAGCGCGTCACCGCACGTCTGTGAGATTCACTGAGTTCTTCTAATTAAACCACATTAACTAACTATTAAATCAAAGATGATTCTCTGTTTAACACCCCAATCAAAAAATTTCAAGCGGTGACAGTTGATATTGCAAGGACAGTGTGTGGTCACACAGCAGGTGGGAGATGTTGGTTATGAAGCCATGCTTTCTGACAGAGGTGACACAACACAGGTGTCAAACTCAACCTTGCTTCAGATGTTGCAAACGTGTTTTGTTGAGGTGTTTGCCCCCTTGCCAGCACAGACAAATGTCAAACATGGTGTTGAAACACTCCCAGGTGTAATGGTGCATTTACAGCACTGTGGACAAACTGGAATTTATGCTGGCATTTGGGCGGTATGGTGGGGCTGTGATTAGAGCTGTCACCTCTCAGTAAACAGGTTGCAGCCTGGGGACTGTCTGGGTGGAGTTTGCCTGTTCTCACTGTGTGTAGGTGGGCTTTGTCCCAGGACTCTGGTTTACTCCCAGACACCAACTACTGTAGTATGTTAGAGTAGTTACTGACTCTAAATTGTCCCGCGCTGACAGTGGGACTGGTTTATTTGTCTCATTCATCGTTTTTAGCCCTGTGACAGATTTGCTACTTGTCCAGGGTACACCTTGTCCCTCTCACAGTGAGACTGCTGGACATGAGCACCAGCTCCCCATGAGATGTAACAGGCTCATGCCAGACTTTGCAGAACTAACAACTCCTCTGACTGATCAGACCTGAAAAGGTGCCTCAGATCTGCAGCAGTGTCAGCAGGTGTTTGAGAAGTTCAGGCAGGCTCTGTGTCCCACTTTTATTCTGCAAACTGATACCTCTGACAGGGGGTTGGAGACTGCAGGTCTAAGAGCTCAACTGTATCATATCTATATCATCTGCAAGCTGTCAGAGTCCTTGTACACAACCATTGAGAATAAATGTCTGGTGTGTAGGGATACTGAAAACAATGCTAGGTCTTCAATATTTTTATTTTCTTCATGTGTAAATCAGTGCAGTTTTTGACTAACATTCTGACAGATACCCTTGTATTAAAAAGTGACTGAGATGGTATACATGTTTGGATTACAAAGGATTACTCACCAAAAAATATATAAATAAAGGCACAAACTCAAGTTTACATCGCACCTTAATTATACACTGAACAAACGCAACACTTTTGTTTTTGGTCCCATTTTTCACGAGCTGAACTCAAACATCTAAGACTTTTTCTGTGCACACAATAGACCTTCATCCTTCAAATATTGTTCATAAATTTGTGTTAGGGGGCTCTTCTCATGTGCAGAGATAATCCATCCCACCTCGCAGGTATGGCACATTAAGATGCAGATTAGACAGCACGGGGTGCCTTAGGCTGGCCACAATAAAAGTCTACTCTGAAATGTGTTGTTTTGTCACACAGCACAATGCCACGGATGTCTCAAGTTTTCAGGGATTGTACAAATGACATGCTGACTGCAGGAATGTCAACCAGAGCTGTTGCCCATGAACTGAACGTTCATTCCTCCACCATGAGCCGTCTCCAAAGGAGTTTCAGAAAATCTGGCAGTACATCCAACCGGCCTCACAGTCGCAGACCACATGTAATCACACCAGCTCAGGACCTCCACATCCAACATGTGTACCAAATAACCAAACCCAGACCCACTTTTGAGGTGGTCTCAGTCTGGTTATTTGGTACACACTAGGGTTTGCATGAGTGTTTTCATACCTGTATAAAAGGTTTGGATTAGCCTGGTAAAAACCAGCTCCTTGTAAGTCACTTTGCTTCATACAGAGGGTCTGGACTCTCAGCTGTTGAGAAGTGATTGCTTGCTGGAGGCGTGGCCTCTGTTGATGTTTACAGCAATTGGATCTGACTTACCCAGTCGTTAATGTTGAGCTGTGACGTATGTAGAGCACCAGTTTAACTGTTAAGGAAGCTAAGCTAAGAAGCTAACAGGAAATTGTGCGCTGTAAACAGTCATCCTCTACTGGGAAGAGAGAAGTACCGAGCTGAATGAGATGGCTGTAAATGATGCTGCAGGCTTTGAGAAACATTTAAATTCATTTGGTAGTCTTGTCAACACAGACAGAATGGCTTAGAATAGAATAGAATAGAATAGAATAGAATAGAATAGAATAGAATAGAATAGAATAGAATAGAAACAGCCTTTATTGTCCCACGGAGGGGAAAATCGGGTGTAGCAGCAGCAGCATCAGTTCACAAAAAGACAATGGGCCTCATGTAAGAACTGTTCGTACGCACAGATTTGTTCTTAAGTTGTGCGTACGAGTGATTTAGGAGAATTAACAGAAAACACCAATTCCGACTAAAAGTAGGA